TTTCCTTCCCGGCAACTCTATTGTAGAAAGTGTTGAAGGAGCCATGGACGGAAGTTACAGTGTCATTTTCTGGATTACTGAAAACTTTCTGGGAAGCGAGGTTTGTGATTTTGAACTGAATTTGGCCAAAACCAAGCTTTTTGAAGGGAGCATTTGCTCGGTTATTTTCATATTCGAAAAGGGTTTTGATAAAACCCAACTACCGCAGCCCATGGGGATAATGATACGACATTGCCATTGTCTTCAATGGCCAGAAATGCGGCTCCGCAAAAGAGATATTTTTTGGAAAAGACTGAAGCTTGTCTTATTGGAAAACAGAGACGAGCACTAGCTAACTTAAACCTGCGACCAAAATTGTATACAATCACATTGTATGTGGAAATGAAAAGGTGGTCTTGTAAAATAACCATCAACGCGTCCATAATTTGACATGGCAAGGTACGTCACGGTAGATCCCATTCAGCAGTGGTTTCTTATCAAAAACTGTTTACAGACTAGTAAAAAAAATAAACGTTTTTAGTTCACGTAGCCATAGTGAGATAAGGGGTCAGAGTGAATGGGAATAAATTCAAAATGGCCGACAACTGCCAACATGGTGGGAAGGAAGTCCATCTTCCTAGTTGTGTAAAATATTGTTTTCATGTACAACGTGTCAATAACATTGAAATGATTACCTCGCATATGAACTTTTGAAATATTGTAGGACATGTTTCATAACCATGCCATTTATAAAATCTCAGCTGCTTTTTATTTAATAGTATATCATACATGCTTGGGTGTAATGTTATGTAATACATACTCTACTTGTAAACGGAATAAAATGATATTTCTTTATGCTCAGATTGTATGTTCCCTGTACTATCAATTCTTAAATAATAAGTCTCGGCCTCATTTAGGCTACCTCGCATGGGAACCATTCGTCCCACTTTTGCTCTCTTTGGCACTGCCGCAGATTGGAATGCTGTTTCCTCCTGCATACACAGTGTGTATTATATTTAGGCTGTGTTCAGATTAAGGAACCATTACCAGAGCCTATCGTACTAACTGTGGATCGATCTATCTCGGACGGATTCTCGCTAAATTGCTTTCAGCTTAAAGCAATAATAACTCTTCCTTTGAGATTCAAAATTCCGCAAGAAATACATTGTAAATAACTCCTGGAAATATATTCTATTGCATTTTCCCACTAAAACGACTGTTATTGTAGTAAAACTAAAATCTGTGCTTGTCACTTGGGCTTTCGATGCCTTTTTTCGCGGTCGACAAGTGCATTCGTTGCCAATGACGTTTAGGTGTCACGCGGATTCTCGCGTTCATTCGAGACCAAATTAACATGACGGGAAACCCTCAGACGTAAGTTGCGAGTTTTTGTACAGTGCGTCGGATAACGAAAAGCCCAGAATTGCACACATTGTAGATATAAATGCATTTTGAGCAAAAAGACGAATATATCTTATGAATCTTTTAATATTGTTATACAGTGTTGTTGTTGTCTGCTTTTCCCGCGGTTTTAAGTAGGTCACCAGAAACAATCGCTCGATACGAGAGGGCTCCGTCAGTTAAAATCTCTTAAGAGATTTTAATAAAAAACCGTACGTTTAGGAAAAAAACCCTGGATTAACTTTGAATGCAGGAATGGGGTCGTTGACCATTGGTAAGTACGGGAAAATTGCCGTTTTTTTCCAGGAAAATCCAATTTTTGGCAAAAACGAAGAGTTATTATGACTTTAAGCGGCCTAGATGTCTGGCACGCCTACTAAAGCTGCTAGGGGCTAAAAAATTATTAGCTGAAGCTGAAGCCTACAGAAGCTGCTAAACGAAGTTTGGCGTCAGACCACATGTGGACGGTAATGGAACGCAGTTTGTACAAAAATGATGAAAGTATCATTTTGATAAGAATTTTTTTTTTTGCGAGGTGCTAACATCATTTTGAGATCGTCAGTTTCATCATTTTGAGAGAAAAGTTTTGAGATACCGAATGCCGGTGTAACATGAATGTAAGTCCGCTAGGAACCGTAGTCCGCTTCCCATCACTTTGTACAGGTGACATTAGTAACATATACTAACCCATATACTAACCCATATTTATTATATTTCTTTGAGTTGTTTATACCAGTAAAGTATTTATATGAAAAATGAATCTCAATTCCCTTTTTTGTTGTAACTTGCGTGCTTTCATTTTTTATCACTGTAATAAAATGTCTTTTATTCAATATTTTAGGGTATTACTGGACCCCCTGGTCCACCCGGACCCCCAGGACCCCCGGGACCCGCGGGAGCAGCGGTCACCAAAGACATCTTAATTAAGGAGTTCAAAGACATGATTAAAGGTAGAAATAAAGTGTAGTGTGGTGTGGTTTAGTGTAGTGTAGTGTGGTGTGGTGTGGTGTAGTGTGGTGTGGTGTAGTGTAGTGTAGTGTAGTGTAGTGTGGTGCGGTGTGGTGCGGTGCGGTGCGGTGCGGTGCGGTGCAGTGCAGTGCAGTGCAGTGTAGTGTGGTGTGGTGTGGTGTAGTGTAGTGTACTGTAGTGTAGTGTGGTGTGGTGTGGTGTGGTGCGGTGCGGTGCGGTGCAGTGCAGTGCAGTGCAGTGCAGTGTAGTGTGGTGTGGTGTGGTGTAGTGTAGTGTACTGTAGTGTAGTGTGGTGTGGTGCGGTGCGGTGCAGTGCAGTGCAGTGCAGTGCAGTGCAGTGTAGTGTGGTGTAGTGTGGTGTAGTGCAGTACGGTACAGTATAAAGTAAAGTATATTAAAATTTGCTTACAATACGTTGTGTTAGTTGGAATTATTACAACAGGGTGAAAGGTGGAGTGCAAAAATATCCAGCTAAATTCGAACTGTAATTATTAATTTCGTTTCCTTATACAATGTCTTTATAGGTAATACCAGATAAATTTATTTCATAACTGGTCCTGTCCAAAAACACGTTTTTAGAGTCAAAATTTGAGACTGTACTGCAGTGTAGTTAACGTGATTGTGTTAGTTGAGACGTGCGAATGCTTGCTCTCTCTCTCTCTTTCACACACGCACACACATTCATCCTACCTTAGAACACTAACAGGTATTCACCCTGTCAGAGCTTCAGATTTATATTTTCCTTTGTCCATTTTCCTTTGATATGAGAGCAATATGGTCAAACTCATTATATGGTTTTGGGGATTTCAAAACGGGAAACATGCTGTTAAACCTAAGACCCCATTTTCATAGATTAGATCGATCTACTTTAGATCGACCTAACTCCCTGGGGGTTCACGCTAAATAGCTGTCAGCCGGGCGGACACGAAAGTTAATTACCCCTTCACAGCTTGTAGTAGGCGGGACGGACATTTAAGCCGGATTATCTGACAGTAAACTAGTGAGACTCCCCGCGGGGATAGATCGATCTAAAGCTCTGGGAATAGAGCCTAAGATCTTCCGCCAGGAGTCAGACTTCAAGACGTTGTGGGACAGGGAAATGATTAGAAGCTGGATCTTTGCCTAAACGCCTTTTTAGCAGTTGGTTTATTTTAACTCAGATTACTTTTCATTTACTAACTACATGCACATGCATATTCATGAAGATCCCCGTCTTCTATCTTTCTTATTTCTTTATTTTTTCTTTCTTTTAAAAGATGAAATGTCAGATTGGGTCCCCTGACTCGCACCATATGGGAAAATACTGGTCTTAGCCCAAAGAGTCTACTTCATTACATTTTTAATTACGCAGTATCTTCTCCAATACATGTAGCTTTGAATCAGAGGGGAGAAATTAAAAATATGCACTGTACAACGAATTTGCCAAGACGAAAAAGAACGTATAGAATGGGATATGAAAAAAGGACACTGTCAAAACACGTGTACCAAACACAGAAAAAAAATGGTTGTGTAAGGAAATTTGAGAACTGTGTGTGACTACCGAACATAATTATTATAAAAGCTATGGGATGAACAATGAGAAAACCATTGATGTGGAGGGCGTTAATAATTTCTTTAAAAAGGGACACATTATTAGGGCTTGCATAAGGGGAACAAACAAAAGGAAATAAAACAAATTATTGCCTAATTCAGCCCTTACAAAGGTAAACTACTCATGGTGAATAGCGCCTTTAGGCTCACAGAGAAAAAATCAGTTTGTTTTCCACTATGGCATTTCAGACCAATTTCTGTATGAAATTGAGCAATGCTGCCACTATGCAAAGGGTGGTAGCCACCCTTGAAGAAAACCAGGGCCGTGGGGAACAAAACTGCCACACCAACAGGTGACAAAATTCAAATTATATAATTACAGCCTACATCGTAACGGAACGGCACGAGTAAATCAAAGACCGTAGCGAAATATCTGAGTGCGCTGTGTTTAGCTACAGATGATTTTAATGGACGTAATTCTTCTGATCAAGTAATTTGTGGGTTGATGAGCGTTGGGTTGGTCTCAGTTTGGATTGGTTACTTCGAGAGGTGTTAGAGCCCATTCACAAAGAAACAGCGTACTAGCTGGGTCGGATCAACTCTGCGGGGGATCCATGTTCAATCAGTGGAATCTAATTAATTTTCCGCCGCCCCTCCTCCAGCGGCTAGTGGGTAATTAAGCCGAGCGCACACGAAAGTTATTTACCAACGAGGCGTGTCCATCAGTGTTGCTGATTGCACTTAGTGAGAGCCCCCTCAGAGTTGAGCAGACCCAACTAGTTCGCTTTGTCTATCTGAATGCTCCCTTAGTCACAGTGGATAGACAGGCAGCGGATTAAGTATTTATATTTTAGTCTTCCTTCGTTTGGTTTATATCTTTATTTCACGCATTGTTTTGCTAACTCTACAACAGACTCACGCACAATGTAAGTATCACACCGAGCTACAGCTTGGAGTGTTCATTTTTTATATTTACATTTAAAAATGTTTTTGTGTTTCAAATTTTCTTACTCTTTATATGCACATTAATACATGTAGATTAATATAACTACTTACTCACACACACACAGCCAACTTTCTGCCTTGGTTTAAGTGTTTCGTCTTTGATTTTCAGTGCAACAATGACGAGGGCCAGCTTCCACACGGGGTACTTACTCATACATGTATTGGTTTCCCTGTGGGCGGCCATGCTGGGAAAAACGACAACTATTTCATCCCACAAGTGCGACGTTCACGTGGACCACGGACTAAGAAACGATACATTGGCAAACTGCTTGGGACGAAATCTGCGTGCGGTTCCAGCAGATCTCCCGGTTACAACAACTGTTGCTGATTTCTCGAACAATGACTTTAGGCTCATACATATGAAACAGTTCCTGTTCCTGTCCAAACTGAGAGTATTGCATCTCAGATCGTGCAATATATCTTATCTGAATAAAGACGCGTTTTACGGTCTTGGCCTTCTAGAAGTATTGGATTTGAGCAGCAACCATCTACGTCATCCATCTGATCAAATTTTTAAATCGCTGAAGTCTGTAATGACTATTAATCTGTCCTATAATAGAGACATCTTTGGGGTGTCACTGTCAACATCCCTCTTTGAAGGTTTGGATCGTTTGGAAAGAATATTTCTTAAGAGAATTGATTTAAAAGAAATAAGAATGGACGCTTTTTCAACAAATATCAATCTGAAATTGGTATTTCTCAATGACAATCAATTTCAGCATATCCCAGAAGCAATCTTAAAAAATCGTTATGTAAGTGAGATAGTTCTAAGTCATAACAAAATACATACTTTTCGGATTAACACGTCAGACACCGCAATCCGCAAAAAGCTCGTCCTAGGCTTGCAGTCAAATCGAATCACTAAAATATCTAGGACTGATGTACGACCACTTTTAAGGTATGGTGAACTGAGTTTATATTTGGATAAAAACAAAATCACACACATTTGGGACGATGCTTTCATTGATGTGAAACACATTGGTGTACTGTCGGTATCATTCAATCCTTTATGCAAATTACAATTTAAACAGTCCCAAAACCAAAACACCACAATCGACTGTCCAGCTTTCCGAAATTTAACTTTGAGTTTAAAGGAGAGCCAAATAACAAGCCTAGTTGCACGAAGCATAGACTTGCACGTTGATAGCCTGAGTTCAACCATGTTCTTTCCCCTTCAAAATACATCTCTCAGAAAGTTGAATCTTGGACGGAATTCTATAAAACGATTGCAACCATCAGCTTTCAAGGACCTGCCCCAGCTTACTGAACTAAGGCTGGACTCCTGCGGCATACAATCGTTCCCGTTACCGGCCCTACATCCTTTCAGAGACACAATGAAGAACATTGATCTCAGTCAGAATAACTTGGACACGGATTGGTTGGAAGGGACACTCAATATCTGCCCTAACCTAACGGAACTTTATTTTGTAAACAAGTTAGATTCCTCCTTTGTGAAAAATAACAAAGCGACTTATTCCGTTGACAATCACTCAAGTATAAGGACTTTGGTTTTTAGGCCTAACAAACCACAGGAAATTGAACATTTGGTCTTCAAAAATCTGTCTTCCCTGGAACGGCTCATCCTCAGTGGACTTTCAAATAGTGCTTTTATGATTGACACCTTCAATTTGAGAAAGCTAAAGCTTCAGGATTTACAACAATTACAGATCTTGGACCTATCTAGAAACGGGGCATACCTACACTGTGACATCCGGAGAGCAGATTACTTCAAAGGAATGCCAAATCTTCAAGAATTACGCATGAGTTATAACAGACTGTATTCCACCAATGTCTCTGTACGCATTGCTATGTTTCAATCTCTTGGCAATTTAATATCCTTAGATTTAAGTAATAACTTATTATTTGAACTACCAGTGGGAATGTTTGACTCTATGGTGCGTCTCAGACTTCTGATTCTTTCACACAACAAACTGCGGACAATTCCCAAGGGACTATTCAGAAACTTGAAACAACTCCACACTCTAAGATTAAACTCCAATTCCATAACCATTATCCAAGATGGCGCCTTTGGTGGCTTGGTGTCTTTAAATGTACTTGAAATGAGGGACAATAAGTTAATCTGTGACTGCAATATACGGTTGTTTCAGCAATGGTTGGAACGACTTGACAATAAGGACTCAGTCGAGTTTTGCTTTGGCTCTTACTCAACAAACAAAATTCCTATTACTGAGTTCAAACCTGACTGGTGGCAATGTGATAATAATACCACGAAGGTGGCGGTTAGTGTCCTTGGACTGGCATTATTCATAGGTCTTATAGCTGGTATTGTTTACTATGCACGATGGGACATAAGATTTGCTTTCGTCGTCAGGTTCGGGTGGCAATGCTGTGCTAAGAAACCAAAAGATGCTGACGTCAACCTTGTAAAAATATTCGATGCTTTTGTGTCTTATAGTTTATTGGATACGGCCTGGGTTGCTGCCGAGCTGATCCCAAATCTGGAAAATGACGAACAATTCAACTTTCGTCTTTGTATCCACGAGCGCAATTTCCTTCCCGGCAACTCTATTGTAGAAAGTGTTGAAGGAGCCATGGACAGCAGTTACAGTGTCCTTTTCTGGATTACTGAAAACTTTCTGGGAAGCGAAGTTTGTGATTTTGAACTGAATTTGGCCAAAACCAAGCTTTTTGAAGGTAGTATTCGCTCGGTTATTTTCATATTCGAAAAAGGTTTTGATAAAACCCAACTACCGCAGCCCATGGGGATAATGATGCGACATTGCCGTTGTCTTTACTGGCCAGACATGCGACTCCGCAAAAGAGATATTTTTTGGAAAAGACTGAAGCTTGTCTTATTGGAAAACAGAGACGAGCACTAGCTAACTTAAACCTGCCGCCAAAATTGTATACAATCACATTGTACGTGGAAATGAAAAGGTGGTCTTGTAAAATAACCATTAACGCGTCCGTACTTTGAAATGGCAAGGTACGTCACAGTAGATTGCATTTACCAGTGATTTTTTTACCAAAAATTGTTTACGGACTAGCAAAAAAATGCAAACGTTTTCAGTTCGCGTAACCACAGTGTGATAAGAGGCCAGAGTGAATGGGAATAAATTCAAAATGGCCGACAATTGCCAACATGGTGGGAAGGAAGTCCATCTTCCTAGTTGTGTAAAATATTCTCTTCATGTGCAACATATACTTGGCATTGAAACATGGCCTCATATATGGACTTTTGAAATATTGTAGGGCACGTTTCATAACGATACCATTTATAAAATCTCAGCTGCTTTTTATTTAATAATATACCATACATGCACGTGTGTATTAAGAACGCTTTTGACACGGGGTTTCGCTTATGTAATACATACTCTACTTGTAAACGAATGTAAATAAATTGATATTTCTTTATGCTCGGATCGTATATTCACTGTATTATTAAATTTAAAATGATAAGTTTCGGGCTTATTTTAGGCTACCTCGAATGTGAACAATTCGTCCTATTTTTGCTCTCTTTGGTACAGGACTTGGCACTGGCGCCAGGTGCCGCAGGAATGCCGTATCCTCGTGCATACACTGTGTGTATCATATTTATGCTGTGTTCAGACTTTAAATTATCGGACCAGTAAAATCGAACTATCTATGCGGGGATTCTTGCTTATGTGCACTTAAAATAATCAGCTTCGTTGTCTGGCCCACCCCCTCCAGAAGCTGCGAAAGATGATGACCCCTTACAGCTTCATTCTTTGTGGTAAAATTATGCCAAGTGCATCAGTTACCCCCACCCCACCCCCCGTAACTGTATTTATCATCTGTTTGAGAGGACAACAGCGGTGTTTGAAAGCTCGCATGAACTTTAAGGTACATGAATGTATAATACAGAAAAAGAAGGTTAATAATATCTATAGACTATATCTCACACAAGCTTTGGTTGATCATTCGTTTTGACACTCGGAACTACTCGGATGTCTCCGCACTCGACAATGAGCTTGAGTATGGAGCTTGCGGAATGAGCCGAGGATTGCCGATTGTCGTTTTGACGGATAGTCACATGGTAATGTAACGTCACACAGGCGTCTCCGAATACGCGCTTATTATAGACTTACGCGACGTGGAGTCTAATGTCCGCGATGACGCCGCGGTGTGAACAGACAAGGTAGAACTCATAGTGCTGACGGAGGGCACGCTGTTAGAGGCCGTGCATCCGGGTACCCAACCCCGACAGGGGGCCCTCTTTTTTCTCACAAACTGCTCTCTTCGGTCTTGCTCTTGGCCGGAAAGAATGCCAAAAAGACACAGGATGAAGGAGGCGATGGTAAGAAGCAAAGGCCACAGTATTACGTTGACGGCACAGGCTTCGCTGCATACAACGTGGCTTATGAATTGTGACGCATTTGCAGGATTTTGGTAGCACTCAAAAGATGACCCCAGTGCGTCATATTGGTCCCGGAAGTGACGTAAATTTGTCCATTCCTTGGTCGGGTCTTCCTGGCAGGCAGGGGTGTAGGAGCACTGAAAGCAAAAAAATAAATGAAGTTATCTTACTGTCTATCTAGACAAACACTCATGTCGCTCTCTTTCTCTCTCATTGTTATTAAAATCTCGCTATTCTAAAGGACATTCATTCAATCAGGGATCCAGTAACTCTGCATCTGTTGCACACATACATACATGCACATATATACTAGTATGTACCTGTACATACACCCCCTTGTGCACGCACTCATGAACACACACACACACACACACACACACACACACACACACACAGGGAGAAATTTGAATAAAGAAAGGAGCGCAAGTAACCTTTACCTTAGACCTGGACGTTGAATCCATAGCCACGAGGTCGTCATAGAGATACCCCTTCTGCGTGCCATTTCCCGCGTTATACGTCACGACCACCAGCAGACAGGGCAAAGTGTGGTTCCGGTCACGTGCGCACACCACCGTGTCATTAACAACCAGGTGGCGCTGACACCCAGTACACTTCACCTCGTCCAATCGATAGTATATGTCCCATACAGTACACCTCAGTCTCTTAAAAGCCTGCATATCAAAGTAGCCCTTAGCATAGACCCCGGAGAGGGTCACCAGAAGGACGACGGACACGATGGTCAACCAGAATCCGACCCACAGTCCCGCGCAGTGGACGTAGCGAAGTTTGGCGTCAGACCACAGGTGGACGGTTTCCTTGGCTTTGGTCAGAAACATCGTTTTGGTTAAGTCTCAGTCATGTTGGATTCTGTAAAAATGTCCGTGAATTCCATCAGCACAAATGTCACTTTATATAACCGCATTCATTTGGTCCCCAGCATACAGGCAACAGTTAATTGACATAAACTGAAACTAAATAATATCTTGATAAACTATTGTTTTATCTACCGGTCAAATAATGAGTTTTCTCTCGTCGATGTGATATCATTATGATGTAAGCCTACTCCCAAATGTGCGACAAAAGAAATTTTCAGCTGACGCATTTCAGGGAGGAATTCGTCAAATCCATAATCATTCTTAAATAGTCTTGTCACATACATGTACGTGTATGTGTAAGGTTGTGATTGTCTTAGTATATTGTGTTCGTCTCTTTCCGTTTGTGTTCGTGTATGTCCGTTTATCCATAAAAAGTGTCCCTAAACCATAATTGATGTTACTGGTTAGGTTATAAGAATGATTTTTATATAAACCATGTGCACGTTTACAATGTGAACACTACTTATTCTCTCGATATATTTTTTTTTATTCCCCCGGGAAAGGAGGAGGACTCTCCAACAAATGAAGTACCCAACTGCAAATATTTCAATAAAATCGTAAGTAAACGTTCCCTGAGTTATCTATGTGAAAACTTCACAAGAAAAACATGAGCAGAACAGCCCTCATTATTACACTATTCACACCACTAAATTTACATTTTAGCAAAACAGGATATCAACGTGACACGAGACACGTTAGGCCTACCTGGTTTTTGACGTACGTGTTTAAGGTGACATTGTCCTCACTTGAATGCCAGCGTAACTGGAATGGAAGTCCTCCAGGAACCGTAGACCGCTTCCCATTACTTTGTACAGGTGACATTCGTTCAATATACTAATCCCAATACTCCATCTAACCCTAACTTGTACTAATCATATGGGAGTCTGGACTTCCATTCCTAGGACTTCCATTCCTGTCACACCGGCACAGTTCTACAGGGCACCTACGAGTCTGAACACCGAGACGAAAATGTACACTTTCGATTGAAAGGCACAGGATAATATTTTGAATTGAAGTATTAAGAAATAACATCTCCAATGTGATTGCCACTATTTTTGTTTCAAGATAATCTTATCAGGGTTTACGGCAAAAAAAAAAAACAGAAGGAAAAATACTATTGTACATTATCGATAGTGATATTACCTGTGAGTTCAGATTTAACGGGCACCCTGTAGTTTTCACCAAATAAACGAGCACTTGATTCATATAAAGATAGATCCCTCCCATAACTTTACTGGGAGCATCATTCATGTCTATACTATTTAAGAAGACGTCAGACGCGATGACATCTCCTTGCAGCGCCACCTATGGGATTCAGCGTATTCCTCCCTGCCGGACCCTGGTCAAGATTTCCTGGAGGACATTGCCCTTGCTTGACCATGATATCGACAATGTCTATAGCACGACACGCGTGACGCTGACCATGCAGAGGACGCAGCGGACACTGCTGTCCTTGGTGACATTAATAGACAAATGGAAGTAACGTGTTAATGTGTCTATAAGGTCACGGATTACTGAAGTGCCTGAAATAATTGTCGGCCATGAATAACCTCAGTTTGACGGTACATCGTGCCGACCTCTCTCCCCCCCCCCCCCCCCCCCAAACACCACCACCACCACCACCACCACCACTGCGCTGCCAGGTCCCACACCTGCCAAAAGCGGTGGTTTATGGTACAGGTTGCATTTTAACTGCCGCTGAGCGGCGAAGTGACTTCCAGCTAGTGCTAAAGCTGCATTTGTAGAATAAACGCCATGCTTGTAGAATAAATGTCATACCTGTACTGTAGTTTACAATAAACCTCCCCATGATGCATCTTAATATGAGGCTAAGTGACCTTCCATACATGTCTACACTCCATGTTATTTGTATGTTTTTAGTTTTAACCCTTGGTGTCGGTATTTCCCCTACGACGTAAAATAAACATGGCGCCCGCCTACCTCTTTATAAACTCTACAGTTTACTTGAGGTCAATGTTTACACGCGTCAGTGCATTTTATCCACGATTTGCATAGCTCCCTTTAACATATAAATAGTTCTTTGTGGTCAGTCAAAAACACGTTTAATTAATGCATCTTTTTATTCATATATGTGGATGTTCAATAGGCATACAAACAATATGTTCTTAAAGAATTAGCATATGCAGCTTAAATAGTGGTTTTTGCCAGAGTCCATACCTCAGCGAAAGTAAAAAGAAAGAGCGGAATAGCAATTTATGTTATAAATGAAAGTACTTCTACTCAGATGGGACCAGGGATAGACACCCTAGCAATCATCTAAGCTCTTCAGTCGTTTGCCCAGTAGAGAAATCAGTTTTAAAACTGCTAAACATAAACACTCAGTTTATACATTATACGTACTGCTCCAAAAGCCTTAGCAAAAAGTTGAAATATTGGAGTAGAAATTGCTCCAATTAAAACTGCTGTATAGACAAAACTATACCTATAACTTTTAGAAGCTGTTTATTCTAGCAAGCCGGGGCTGTGATACCAGTAGCATAATAATAATAATTAAGCCTAGCCTGTAACGTAAACAACAGCAAAATATTCCATTTTGGTCCTTAGAAAATTAAACATCCGTCCAATCATATAAAATGAACGAAAAATAGCTGATAATTAAAACGACAGAACGACGAATAAATACAAGTAACTGCACGTCGTTTACTACTGTAAATAATAATTTAATTGCACTTTATGTTCATTCTCCAACGTTGTTTAAAAGAAAAATTTTTCGGCATCACATAAAAAATATCGGTATATTGGAAGTGTAATTTGAACCGTGCCATTCACAATTGCAACTGATTAACTTATAACTTATGATATACTCTGCTTTGCATTCATAATAAATAAGTTGTATCTAACTAAAATATAAAATATACTATCGGCTTTGAGCTTAAGTTTAAAAATGGACCATTTAAAACAACAGCGAATGAATTACATGGTCACGGGTGAATATCAATATTAGGTGTCAGAGAGTATTTCATTTTTCTAAACACCAATTTGACCATGTCATGCAACTGTTTTTTTGGGCTCACAACGTTTTTTTACGGGAAAGAGATCGTTGCAAATGTTCGTAACCTGTGACACTTTTTTCGTCGTTGCTGTCATCATTTTCGCCATTTTGCTTTCGTCTCCTCTCCAGCATGACAAGTAAACGTCGTCTTGCTGCTCTGGTCAGACCACGCCTCTTTCCCTGTCCTCTATTGGACGTCACGTTAGTGCTACCTAGCAATGCATCTAAGCCACGCCCCCGAATACGCCCTCTGATTGATGTCACGTTGGCTCTGAAATCGGGTGTAAAATCAACGTGATCGTCTGCTTCGGTGAGGTTCTCTTGCCGCTTTATCTGTCGCAATTCCACCATTCGTTCCTGCGCCTGCCGAATCAGGAAATTATCCAACGAATAATCCGTTCTTTCGGGTGGAAAATCCCGCTGCAGTTGATCCAGTGTCTTTGCGTCGGGGGCACCTTCTGAGTCCTCTGCCACACCTAACACAATGTCGCTATCACAGCTATCGCAATCCCTTCCTTCATCCTCAGGAGAGTATTGCTTGGTTTCAGATTCGTCTTGCGTCCCTAAACCTGTCTGGCGTGAAGATGTGCCGCAACTTGCGCATGCGCACTCCTCTATTATCTGGACAAACTTTGGCAGCATGTGTCCATTTGCACACTGAAGCGTCACCTGGAGGAAATGACAAGGATGGAGAATGATGTGTCGTCACTGGACAGTCTGTGACGTCAAAAATATGAGACGTTTTATAAAACGTCATCAAAGTAATCACAGGACTATGATATTTGATTGTGGCCATTAGGACATCAAATCAAAAACAAAATGAACGTTGAAAATGAATTAAGAGAATTATTTATCTTTTTTGTTACACTGCCATCTGTGGAGTTTATGGCGGTAAGCACATGTAAATCACAAAACCTACATGAGATTCATTTCTCACCTTTTCCCATCGTGCTCGTGCTGGCTTACACACGTCATGCCTCTGCAGTAGTCCTGCGTTCTGACTGGGCAAGGTGTTGGGCACGGAGTAGGAGTAGCATTGGCCAACGCAGACTTTATTTTCGACACTCTGTAACGATAGAAAAATGTAGTCAGTCTAAGCACATGTGTTCTTCACTCCAAAGCTATTTTGGTAAAGTATTGCGCAATAATGAATACGTAGGACGGATAACTCTGCTGTCTCTTGGCTTGGCATGGAGAGAATAAAGTATAGCGGGTAAAGAACTGATGATGGAAGTGCTGGCACACCATACATATGGCTCTACCCAGGTCAGGAAGCTCAGATGGTTTCATTAATAGCAGGTATAAATTGTATAGCCGAATGTTTGTCGAATGACGCATTTTAAAACAAAACCTTAAGATCTACCTTAATGTTACATAGAACGTCTGACCAAATTTTGATCAACAACAGTGGTTATATTCGTTAAACTTGTTTAGAAAAAGTGATTAGAGACGCAACCTACCATATTACCATAAATATAATTCTATTGGCCCCCCCCCCCCCCCCCCCCCCATTTTACCCCATCCCGTATCCGCCTCCAAAGTTTTCCCTCAATCTATACCTGACTTTCACATCCCGGCTGTGTCAAGATCTGCTGTATTGGTCTGGACTCACACCACGTGTGGCTCTCTGAGTGGAACACGATACTTTGGAGCTAGCAATAATAATAATAATAAGTCATACTAACTTGGAACAGCTCACATATTGCGAAAAGTGCTGTGTGCAGCTCACACAGAAAAAAGACCATCAACTATCATATGTCAGCTAATTATATATATAACCCTACTGGGTATTCCACAATCTATTATGAGATTCATGTAAAATTATTGACCACGTATATGTCGATAGAGGCATGGTGAGTAACTGTTTCCCATATACAACCGGGCTGGATGGGAAATCTATTTATTCATTTATTTATTTATTTATTTATTTATTTATTGATTGATTGATCGTGAGTTCTTTGAACAGCTGTCTTACCGGCGGATGGGCGTCCTGTCCTGCTACAAAGACGCTAGAAGTGGTCACCATCACCAACAAGAACACTGCGGCCATCTTGGTTCTGTAAAAGAACATCAGAACTGAGTGAAAATGTAAAGAGATTTAACTGTTTTTGCTTTTTTATCTATAAGGGTATATAAGTTATGGCGTTTCAACCATTCGCTAAAAGGCCTCATCGGTGTGTCTCCGGAAGTTAGGATGAAGAAGCGTCGAGATGCCATGCGTCATAGATAAAATACGCTCAGACACATTATAAGAAACACCTTAGGCCTACTTTTCTACAAATTTTGCACAAGAGATAACAAAAATCTTATTTCACAGAGCATCAAAACTGACAGATATGAACAAACAGTACACTGAGTGGTGTAAGCCAATATGCAATGATTATTTATGAAAAAAGGCCAAGAAAAAGGGAAGGGCTGACTTGTCTAGAATATTTTAAAGGCTTTTCAGCAGTCGGCTGAAGTAGTAACGGTACATCATTCTCCAGATTTAAGTACCGTTGATTTAATCATAACTCATTTAAAAAAACCGTTCCACCAAAATGTCAATGAACTCAAGATTTCACGGGTGGCAATCTTCCAACAGAACCGGAAGTTCTCTCGCTCAATTTACATGACACATCCCAGTAGCACTTCTTCAATTATTCCATCGCAATCTCGAAATTATGATTCATCGGCGACATTCGATAAACCTTGTCGTATTATTTTTTTCTCGGTGTAATGTAAACTCATATAATCAAAAGCTGTATGATCCCTGAGTATATTTCAAGAGCCATACATTCATTTTGTAATAATAGGACTATTTTTAGCTGCGCACAGAGTGAGATAAGTGATGCGACTGCGTTTTAAGATTTCTTAGAACTCTTTAAGAAAAAGATTGGGTTTTTTTCTTCCTTTTTGATCTTATTTGGCAAACTAAAGGACCTCCAACCGATTTTATAACTGCTACATAGCTACAAGGATCTGTGACAGAAACTAGTATTTAATCGTGCCATTCGTCAATGAATGCAAACACTTCAAATCTCAAAGAACACATTTCTATCCAAACTGCTACATGTATGGCCGGTCCGCCTGTTCACTTCAACGGAAGGCGTGCATAATGTTTTTTTTTTTAATTTGGTGTACATTATGGGAAAAATGGATATTAAAAATAACGGCATTTTATAATTTGTATTTTTTTTTCAAAAAAATTTAAAAGGCAGTCAAAGAGGTGTGTTGCAGTAGGATGCATACAACATTTTGTTGTGGACTCCTATATTTTACCCTCTATATCACCCATTTGATAAATTGAAGTGTTGTTCTGAAAAAAGCTCATGCACATTACTTCACGTAATTCTACAAGTTATATTTTCTATTTCTTTGAGCTGCTTGCAAAAACGTATTTGTTAAAAACAAAACAAATTGACATTAACCTACACCAGTGTTTTAACTCTTTTCAAGCCAATATATTGAAAAAAGACAGGCCTTTTTCATTTAAAATCTTGGATAGGTACTATAATAAAAGCAAAATCCATGTCCTTTCGCGAACTTCGGCATGCGTAAATCGAGGTTCATTCAACCTCACGTGACCAAGCGGCCACCCTAAGATTTCCCAATCAATGGGCTACGTTTCTGTGACTTCAAAAATCACGGCACACAAAGAGTTAATGAAGGAAAGTGGATTCTTTCTCAGTAAGCCCGAACACACGCCTGTGAGTTAGTGAGAGATCTGGAGAGCTAAAGCACTATTTCAGTGGTGCTAGAGGTATTCACATAAGTTGATTTATGAATCACAATCTTTTGCAGTAAGCGCTTTCATGCAATTTCCACATAATTCATTGTTCTCTGAACAGTAAACTTCCGCAAAAGTATTGCTGTTACTCTGGTATTTCACTCTTTTAGCTTTTAAATGTTTAATGGCTTTACATATTCGCCGACAGGGGAAAATCAGATAGCCGTATGCGTAGTATAAGCAGGGCAGTGAATTTCCACCCTTTTCTTCGCTTCAAATTATAATTTGGAAACAGACCGATATGCTGCAAAAGTTAATAATAATACATGTAAATATATGGCATACGTAAAAATATTATTATTGAATATAACCTTGGAATAACGCCTATTATTCATATTTACATGTACTGCGTCGTTGTTGCTATCAATTACCCATTTTACGATGAAAACACGTTCCTGTACAAACCCATTGAAATTGTCATGCAAGCAATGAAATTGAATCTTCCAGACCCTCTACCACCAACAGTCTCCTTACAGGGTAACTTCTTCTTTATATACTGTACATAAATCTCAAAATACTTGTATTTATTACAATAACAGGAGCTGTTTTTTTTTTTTTTTTCTTTCTTTTTTTTTTTTTTCCTTTTTATTGCTAACCGTTAATTTTATTTATTAAGTGGCTATATTGCTGTGTTATGTATCAGAGACTGGAATGTGGTACAAAACGTCTGCTTATATTTTAGTTTTACTTTAAAATGGGATACGTTGTCAGTTTAAAAGAATTATCGATATCGCAGGGGTTTAATATTTAAATTAATCAATAACTTAATTTTAGCGTCAGAATTCTTCGATTCACCCCTTGACTCCAATTGTTTTAGGCAAACTACCCATATCTGTATCTGCATTCCTCTTGTAGATGAAGTCCCCCGAAAATATCATAAAAATTGTTTATTATCCCTTAAACGTCTGTCTAGCCGATTCCGCTACTTCTGTTAAGGCAATTAGCGGTAAAACAGAGCATAGTGAAATTTTTAACCAGATGTACACTACATTTAGTTATATGCTAATTGTATCTGAATATCTTTGAGAAGAAGATCAATTGTTTCTCCACATTTTGCCAAACTACAAAACGGGGGAAAGTACAAGGGATCAAACTTGATTTAAAAAATCACGTCTTTCATAGACACATATTAAAAGAAACATTCGAAATACGTGCTTTGAGTCATCTATTGATTAATCTGTTTTCAAATTGCTCGCATTCTTGGTTATAAACAAAACAACCGTTCTGCTACATGTAATGTTACTGTAGCAAAATTAATAAAAAAAAGGGAAAATGACATTTATAGCTCCTGTGTGTGTTTTTGTGATCTTTATAGCTGAATATGGCGATAGGAATGATTTTAATTTACCCACATTGTCACAATTACTGGATCTCCCTACTGCGTCTGGAACAAACGGGATGTTACCACACAGTTTTCCACATTTATTTTATTAAAACAGAAACATTTAAACAATACCACATCTTATATTAAGAAACAAAAACCCGCCCAGGGAATCTTATTTCCCCAAACGAATCACTTACCTTTTAAATAACTGATTTCTCCCCTTAGCAACGCTATCAGCTAATAATGACTTCTTATCTTGTCTACTTCTTTTGGTATCTGCCAATTATTAATCCATCGTCTTGCGTCTTAAATAATGCTTTCATGGATTCATTTCCTTGAAAATATACCGCCCCGGTTCCTGTGGTCTCTTTAATTCAATATTATTTCTAATATAACATAAACTTGTCTATGGCTGGCGCTTCCGTTAGCTTTCCACTTGTGGCCCCGTCCTCATTGTTTAGAAGAAAACAGTTGTCTGTAGCGTGGGGTTACTTCACGTCTTGTGCATTTTTCACGGCGATTCCAGACCGCAGACATTTCAAAAACGATTTTAACAGGTGTCTGTAACATTACAGCGCTGTGTAGACGGCGTTATAAATCACGGCAAGCTGACGCGTTGCCAGCCTTTTATGCCCGAGATCGCGACATTATCCGCGAGATTTCGACAGTGCGAACGAGATGTTGCCAATAATTGGCAGCGCTCGGTGTGCGGGTTACACGGCGGTGAAGGCGTAACGGGGCACCAAACTGTTTTAAGGGAAGAAGCGGGTTATTTTATTGCCGAATCACGGTTCATTGAATGTTACGTCATTTGTTTTTCCTCTCCTTGGCATAATTGCACACTGTGCGATCAAAAGGCAGGCCTATGGTACATGATACTTTTTCTCAGTGCTTCTTAAGACGCACGTAAGACTGACATTGACTGGTCTGGAAAAATGACATTTTAAAGATTTGCCAAGTTGGCAGGATTGTTTATTTCCAGTCAAAGAATGTTGTTTTGTTTTTCTTGCTGCTAAAATTTCAACCTAAAACAAACACATATTAAAAGTCAAATACATAACAGTGTTGAAATATTGGTAACATTCTGGTTCTAAGTAGAGGAACTTTGTCTTGTTTCTTGTATAGTTGCACTGAAATTATGACTAAAAACAAAAGCACATCGAAATCAGACTCACAAATGCGTGGAGATCGAACAATTTCCCCAGTACTGGCGTGTCTATATCAATAAGTTTTATCTAAAAGTACAGCCAAACTTTCCTCCCAATACAGCTCACATAATTTGATTGACTTAAATTATGTACGTTCCTTTTCGTTCACGGTTTAATTCCTGTGGCAGTAGGCAGATGCGATGTCGGGGTGCGGGAGATTTGAGTCCCACCCCGTCCCTTTTAGAAATATTGGCTCCGCTGGTGAATAAAACTATGGAACGAGTCCAAACCCGATTGCGTAGTTTTTTATCAAACTTCTAAGCTAATTCTCACTCTCACCTCCTTTCTAAAGCTACTGTTTTTCTAAAGAACCCGATCACGAATATAGTTAAAACTTCATTATTGTTTTATTGGTGATATTCTTTATCATTTTTCACCAATTGAGGTACTAATATAAACAGAACATTAAAAACTCTACGTTTGATTGGAATGAGCGTTTTAAATGTGAAGAAGATGGGGACTTCGCAACATGGTGATCATTTATATAAGATCGTTACTTTGCACATAAATAGTACACTACCCAAAGCCGTTGGAATAATTGTAATTGTATAAACTCTTATTCGTGCTCATTTTTCTATTACTAATGCAATTCAACAGTCTTTGTTTCCCCTTCATGAGTGGCTTAAAAACTAAATATGTACAATGTAGACTTTGTTTGGGGGGTCTTGGATACATGTATAAGCGGTTTTGGACATGGTATACCGTGGTCATTTATGGGAAAGAGTTTAAAGCGCTAGGAAAATAGAATTCTTGCTATATTTAGGTCTACAATGCTCATTTTGTGCATTCAATCTTAAATGCACAGTATGCGACTTATGGATCTATTCCTAAGTTGCCAACAAAAGAGAATATGACAGAAGAACTTAACATAGATTTATCACGTTGCGAATTCACAGACATCCCATTCGTGCCATGCATGATTTATAAAACGGCGAGAAGAAACAGAAAATGTTCAGTTCAATCAAGTGTTTTTGTTTCAGTGTCTAATAGAATTCTACAGAAACACAAATTACTGAGTAACAAATAAGCCTTAAATTTTACATATTCCATGAGAATCATTGGCATTCCCTCAAAGAAAGTAAATATATAAAGTAAACATAAATATAAGTTAATATCCAAATAAAGAAACACGATTCTTTAATTTAAATCAATCATTTTATCGTCTTATGAAAACGCATTTTCACACAAGACTAGATGTTATTAAGTTTAAGTGAAATGTCTTTTATAACAGGATAATTATCAACTAGCGAAAGGGAATACAGATACCCGACGAGCTTTTAAACCGAAAACTTTTTTGGATTCTGCAGCTGTTCTGTGCACTTTTCTTTGTGCATTTTACTCTTGTTTTTGTACCTGTCCAGAAATGTTCGGTCTAAATTTCCTCGTCCACTGAAAAATATAAAGTGAAGATCCAGGGCCGTAGCTTGAGCAAAATGCCAGGGGGGGGGGGGGGGGGCAGTAAGCGGACACGAGGGGGGCGAAGCCCCCGAGGGGGGAGGGGGTGTCCCCGTACCAGTGTGGAAAATTCTAAATCCCAG